GTGTGTGTGTGTGTGTGTGTGTGTGTGTGTGTGTGTGTGTGTGTGTGTGAGAGAGAGAGAGAGAGAGAGATGGATTAGTATTTCCTGAATTACTGCTCATTAGAATATGTTTCATGATAATCACTGCTTTACATGTATTTTTTCCATCATTACACTTATCTTATGTCACATAAATTTGTTTAATAAACCTGATTCTGAGTTTAAAACCTGATGTTTTACTGCCAGCTAATCAGGATTATATCACTAATCCATGTTTATTAAACTACCACCCCTTCTGTTAGTTTAAAGAAGCTATGATTTAAAGCGGAACTCTTATTTCCACTAAGATAAAACGTCACAAAAATATTTCACCACATTTTTAACAATAAAATTAGACTTTTCTTAAGTAGGTGCAAAAGAGCATCGGTGGGTTGTACTCCAGTGAAACAAAAACAGCCCTAAAAYGAGATGAAATAACATAACTACAGAGTGACACCGAATCACTGAGTGGTGCTGCGGGAAAACATGTTTATCATGATMAACTTCACTCACAACTATCAGTTCAGTTTAACAGATCCACATAATATTCTGTTGTAAAATACTTTAMATTTCTTTTTTTATAAATATCCACAATTTATTTTAAATTGACTAAAACTGAAGAAAATTTGCAGATGGTTAAATTTTGATTCATTTATTTGATTTTTTTTTGCCAAACCTTGTTACTCTGAACCGTCACCGGTGAGGTCAGTTCTGCTCTAAGAAGACAAAATATTATAGATTTACTCTTAAAAAGAAGAAGATTTATTTCAGCCCATCAGAATGTGATGAGGGAAGTGAGATGTTAAAACAGAAGGAGGGTCCAGCTCTGGACAGGAAGTGTTTCCTGACGCAATGTTTGCTAAGGTGGAAAGAGATAAAAATACACTAAAACAAAGATTTGAACAAATGGAGATAAAAATAAAAATAGAGAAAACAGCCGACAGAAGACGAGATGAAGATAAGAGGAGGGAAAAGGAGAATGTGACGACAGGAATGGAGAGATAAATGGCAAACAGATGGGTGAACGTATTCTCTACAAACACCGGAGGACACGGGAGGAGAAGGACAAATGAAGACGGATTGGACGAGGAGCAGGAAGAACGTGTGCGGGGCGAGGGGACGGGAACCAAACAGACAGGAAACAAGGAGGAGCCGAGGATGGACGGAGGAGGAAACAAACGCTTCCATCTTCCAGCTGAAGACGAGGAGCTTCTTCCTCCTACTGAGGAAGAGTTTTCAGGATGGCGTTCACCTCTTCAGCAACGGTCGTCAACGCAAACTCAAACTGATCCTGCAGGACAAACAGAGACAGAAGAAGAGGAAATAAAAACTGAAACAACCTGCATAGGTAGCTGAGAGGATCGACCACAGTTTGGTGCCACTTCAACTATTTATAAATCAAAACCTTCAGCTCCTTCAGCACATTTCAGCCGTGACTTGTTCACCAATTTATACCGAGCGATCTACTTTAAATGCTTTAAAATGTTCAAATATTTACTGTACCTTTTGTTCTGGTTCTGCCTTTTTTTTATTATTTGTGCTAAAATCAGGTTCAAACAACTTCTATTT